GAGGGGAGCGCAGGGGGAAGGAAAGTGAAGGAGACAGATGAAGAGAAAGAGAGCTTGTATATTGACAGCCACTAGCATCAGTAGCGGTGAGCTGTCAACACTCGCTCGGCCGATACGTGACCAATTGATGATCAATCCTCCTCATGGGAGACCTGCCAGCAGCGAACATAATCAATCTTCCTTTCTCTGTCAGACCTTCGAGCGATGTTAAAGAGGAATGCTGTTCGATTTTCAAGCAGCCCGAGATTCAACAACTTGTTGTCATCCCCCCCGAGTCTAAACTGCCTCCTAATATGGTGAAGGCGGCGTCACCCAGTGATGACACAGTCTCACTGTGGAACCATTAGTAACAAATGTCGCCATGTTTTCATCCGCGACTGCAGCAACGCTTTCAGGCTAATAAGTGTCGCTTTGAAAACGTCTCAAGACAATTATGAGACGCGCGATTCCTCCACATTTGGACAAAATCCAGCTGGTGATGTGTGAGATATTTTGTGGGTGAGAGAAGAAAACAACATGCAAATGGACAACACAAGCAACAGAGGACCTTTCAACACATCTTCACCACTTTTTTTTTTTTTTTTCCAGCACTGAGAAAAGCTGTAAATAATATGCGTACTGAGCAACACTTTCGCAAGTGCCGTTACAACTGCAAGTGTGACACTTGGTTCATGAAGCCATCCCATCTCTCACGTAAACATGTGGCTAGACCGAGCTCAGATGCTTTGCTGGTTTTATTTCGTTTCCACATAATCAGCAAATGTGTTGGATCAACCATACAACACTACAGTAACAAGATGGCCGTGAAAAAAAGTGTACATAGCAACACCGTATATAGGAGATACATGTTATCATATTATATATAATAGTTTCTGTTAGAGAAAATATTAGGGGAGGAACATACTGTATATCTCAACATAATTGAAACTTGAGCATCCAACAGTTAATATATGTGTTGGGAATGTTCGATACGCGATTTTAGTCTCATTACGAAAAACACACTTTATGTATTTAGTAATAACAATCTGTGGCGGTTCGGATTACAATGGTTGTGTGGTGTCTGCACATGAATAATCCACTGGGTACATTAAATGAGCTTTACATATACTGTGTCTTGGCTTTTTTCAGACGTCGGACACTTGCTTGCTACCTGGAGACGCATAAACACACACTTAAGTGCTAAAGACCACTAATGTGGTCACTGGGATAGATCGCTAACCGTTAGCCTTTTACTTATTACCACAGTGTTTATCAGTTTTTAGTGCCCCACTCTAAACTTCATCCTTCAGTGCTGTGTATACATATGACTGACGATTGAATCGAAAATGTGTTATTCCCACAGGTTTAGTCAAAATATGAAATGTCTGATGGATGGATGAATAAGTATCTTATCAATCAGTGATGTAAAAAAACTGATGATTTTATGGTGCTTAACATATTGACAAAACAACACTAAATAAGATGTTTACACTTTCATTTTCTTCCATCTGTCTTCAATTGTTTTACCTTTTATTGATGAGATAAACTGAGTAAACCATAGAGACTTGAAGTGGTACGGTCCACTTCTACAACACACACATCAATAATGGGTGGCCCGGAGGGAGAAGAGTTATGGAGTCCACGGATACACTGACTGGTCGGGAGGTTAGCAAGGCCTGCAACAATCAATAAAACCTGACCACTGGAGACCACTGTGGTATGGCTACAGTTACACAAGTCTATAGGAAACAAACACCCCTGTAGAGCAATGTATCCACCACAGAAAATACTATACATTGAACGATACAATGATCTGCACAACTCACAACCGAATGTGCACCTACAGCATATAGTTACTTCTTTCCATTATTTTTGCCTGACCCCAGACAAAACGACATATATAGAAAGGACAAAAAACACACACACACACACACACACACACACACACAGACACACACACAGAGTGATAATACATTGATCTTTCATTTCAGATTATGAATCGGATCAGCCACTTGTAAACTGTTAAAACAAACCTACAGTTAAGGAGTGACTACCTTCTTTTGTGGGAAGTGATTTTTTTTTACTCAATCATTTCAAGTTCTAAAAGCCAAATTAACCCTGTGGGAAGCTGAGTACCGCATGCTGAACCGTTGGTCTGATCAGAACTCTTTAAGTCCACTCAATTGGTCTTACCAGCTGAGGCTAAATGGGAAAACCAATGACCAATTACAATACATCCTCTAATTGTTTACCGTGTTTGTATTTTTTTTTCTTTCGGTTTGTTACGGGATAGTGGGTTATTTGGTTGATATACAACCACCTAATTGCTATAAAGTTGTCCTACTGTGAGCCAAATTAAATCAACCAAGCTAAACCGAACCAAGGCGAGCCAACTGCTCTGTATCAAATCACATGCCAAAGAAATGAAGGAAAAAAGTATTTAGGACACCAGATTATTCGGTGTATCTTACAGTCTGCTGAAAGAAAACACATTTAAACTGGTTGTTAGAGGGTTTGCGGCGGAAACTTTTTCAACACTGATTCTTTTTGGTAGATTTAGTATCAGAGAGTAAGCATATACTATAGGATACCATGTCTTTTAGATTGTGGTAATGATGTAAAACATTTGTCCAAACATAAGAAGCAATGCAGCAGCCTAGCCGCGTGTTAGCTGTATCCCCCTAAACTCAGGTTGCAGTAGATGTTTTAGCTGTGGGCTGTCATTCAGATTCTGTAGGGTAGATTGCAGGGTCAGAAAGAGGTTTTGGGAGCACTGCTGTGGTGAATGCCAATCAACTATCAGAGCACTGCGAACATGAGCCTGGAGTGAGGTTATGGGCATGGGCACAACCAATCCAAGAAACCGAGCAAGGAAATTTACATAGTGGTTAGCATTCAGCTGCCAAGTGCGAGCTATGATACTGAAGGCAGCGGGGGAATACATCACCATTCTTACTGACCTCAAAGCTGTGCTACTACAGTTCAGGTTTAGACTGAGACACTGGGTGAATATTTAGTAGATGATGATATTCTGATGTGGGTGATTAAGGTGATGATAAAAGTTTTCTCGCTGATCGCAGGTCAAGCAAACAGACTACAAGTCGAATCAAAGCTCTTTGTTCCCCCCATGTAACTTTTCAACACTGTTGTGTAAAGCGGCATTGAGTTTCTCCAGTCAATGGGTGGTGTTTGTATCTTGCAGTAAAAAAAGATTTATAGTACAATTACTAGTATGAAGAGTCGCGTCAACCAAGACAGCCCGACGTTGTCTAGCTCGTCATGGATCTTCGTCCACCTTTTGCACCCTGTCACTTTGGCCAGCTTCGCCAGAAAAATGAACAAGGCTTTCTCCCAACTTTTACGACTCTAATTTGTCCACAAAGGGAATGTCAGTCAGATTTAGGAGTTCTTCGATGTGTTCTTTGTCCCAGGTCTATGTCTATGTCTTGTCCATGGCCTCCCTGAACTTTTCTTACCACGACCACAAAAGCTGCTGTTCCTCCGGCCTGCCAGTACTTGTCTGCTGTTTCCACAGTTTTTCTGGCCTAACCAAGCCTGAAAGCTGAGGGGTGGGGAGACCCTTCTTCAGCTTGAAAGCTTCCTTCACCACTAATGTTTACCAGCTGGAACCCATCCCCATCAGGCACAGGTGACCACAGCCCTGGCCACTAGTTAAAAAAAAACTAGCTGTTTAACAGTGGAGGCTTTGAACATGACCCGCTTGTATTTCATGTCTGTAACCACCGCTGAGATGCAAGAAAAACTCTCCTGGAGGTGTGAGCTGAAGACCTCACAGACTGGGGTCTCACCACTTCACTGTAACTGCACATATAGATTCACCCGTGTGACAGCCACACCATTCATTCAAAGATGGTGACCAGCTGACGACTCTGCTGCTCTTCTCATCCACGTGTCTGAGACATACAGCTTAAAATCTGAGGATACAACTACACACCAAATCGTTGCTCCATGGCCTAAGGTACTCCGCTACCTTGCTCACACACAAAATCACACCATGCCTGAGGGGGACTCAGTTGGAGGCTGCCTTCTAGTACGACCTCTGATGGATAATACTGACAAAGATGCCATGCTTGAACCTATATTAAAGAACAGGTTTACATCAGGAGGGCTGTTCCCTTCAAAGACCCCAGGGTTGAAGTCCCTTTAACAGAACTAATGAGGCCCTTGGCAGCACCCTCTCTGGGACCCGACCACAGACTCCAAATCAAAGCTTTCTTCTCCGTGACACGCAGTTGCACAAACTCCAACACAGTGGTGCTCAGCAGGGGGGCTCAGTAGTATCCCTAAACATACCCAGAGTCTTTCAGACTCTAGCTGATCCACTTCACCTCCTACGTTTTTCTACAAGAAACATTTCACATCCCGAGGTGCTCTGGGTCACCTGAAACTAACTTTGATGTTTGTCTGTCCCAAAGCCAGAGAAACAAGAACCAAAAACACTCCTGGTGATTCGATCAAGAAAACAGGTGCGATAAAATTCTTGAGGTCGGCTGAATGCCCTGTGTCCACTGGCTTTTACATATACTGAATAACTGTCACAATGAATACAGATCAGAGGAAATACAAATGAATTTTATGTGGGTGGATTCCCACTTTAATTTTCAACACTGGGCTATCATTCAATCATTCATTATATCATCCAGCCATTTCATTATGCCTTCATCCTTCCGGCTATTAATTCATTTAACATTAATATTCATGACAACAAAAATCAAATTTAAATGATACTGTCAATGATCTCTTTAATTAACACTCTGGAATATGTAAATTACCCTTTAAATATGAGCAGTACTTGTTGGGTCGAGCACTGGGCATGTATGCACCCGCATGCGCAAACACACACACAGACACGCAGGTATACACACGATGAAAAAATGACCTCCAGTCTGAATACTGCACTGCATAAAGCAACAACTTTCACTTGCTTCACACCAAACACACACACACACACACACACACACACACACACACACACACAAACACACGACTCTCTTACTCACCCTCTCCAGGTCTTGTCGGAGGTGTGTGAAGAGTTTGAGGCGTCTGTAGAGGACATCCTGCTCCTGCTGGGCCAGGTTGTCCACCTCATCCCTCTTTAAGGTCACCAGAGGTCGATTAAAGTTGGCCTTCCTCTTCAACTTCCAGAACTGATACAAAAAGTCCACCTTAAAGAAAAAAGAAAAATTTCCCCGTTAACAAAAATAAAATCTTTAATTACAGCATCATCGTTGTATTATCTTGCCTGAAATCTCTTAATCCAGTGTGGATTAGATGTTGCACATGTTGCTTTTCATTATGTATTTAATAAATAAAAAAAATGATAAGGTGAAATATCAGTAATTATTCTATTAAAGCATGGTAACAGGTTTTTCTGCCTTTATAGTTAAAAAAAAAAAAAAAGCTCTCGCCTGCAGCAGCAACCATGTCAGCAGAGAAAAAAGCAGAGAGCAGTTGGCAGCATGTTCTAAACAAATCTGCTACTCATCAGACAGTTTACCTGTGAATAGGGAGCACTTTGTTTAATACACTGAAGCCAGCACTCTAAATGCAACTCATCAATACCACATCTGTATAAACTTTTATCACTTTTGGAAGGTAAACTTTTCATCTCAACTAAAATATCATTAACTGTGCAAAGATCAGAAAAAGTACTGTGCAGGTAAATGATGTTTTTATTTATTATCATCTTATTGCAATTGATTTCCTTTCATTTTATTACTATAATGTATAACGTACTGTATCTATATTATTATGTTCTATATCAACATAGAAGAGAAGTCCTGAAAGTGCTCAGAAACAACGTGAATTTGAACATCTATAATTCCATGACAACTAGATCGAGTGATATTATCGAACACACAACGGTCCCGTGTGGCCCTTCTGTTGAAATTATTTTGTCAGGAAATGATCACTGTTTAGTGATGCTGTCAAGCTCCAGGTTGGTATTTTATTGTTTAAAACCAGATGCACATGTACCTCATCCAGATTCATACTGTTTACACACACACACACACACACACACACACACACACACACAAACAAAAAAGAAATCAGGTCTTGTCAGATCAGTCATCTTCAGATGTTCAATGTTGCCGACCTCAAGAAGCTTCAAGCTCTTTGTTCTTAGTGGATAGAGACTGAACTTTCTATGCACCTCAGTGGTCAATAAACTGTGTGCTCTGAGTTGACCTGCTGGATGTTTCTGTTGTACTGAACAGAATACTTGTTGCCAGCTAGAACGGACAAGTGTTGCTATTCTGACCTTTCACATCAGCAAGCTTTTTTCACCCACTCAACCTGTCGACCCTCTGTGTGTGTGTGTGTGTGTGTGTGTGTGTGTGTGTGTGTGTGTGTGTGCTTTATACTTGTGCTTTATTTATACCCGAGTAACTTTCTGCAGGAGTAAGTTGTTTACACCTGAACACCTGAATGACTAGTGTAAAGTATCATGTCTTGTCATTTCATGTGATAAATCAGTGTTTCAGTTATTTGGCTTAACATACCTGGGAGACAGGCAGCCCCAGGTTTTCGGCCACCTCCCTTGGGTCCACCAGTCGGTAAAACTCATCCTCCAGCTCCTGGAGCTTCTGTTTCCTCTGGCTCACTTTCTCTCTCTCCAGCTGGTCCCGCTCAGCTCGCTCTGACGCCGACACCGGAACCGGATACGATACTGGCCTCTGCTCCAGGTCACTGTTGCCGTTCGGTTGGTGCTGGTTTGGCCAGGGCTCAGAACCGACGCCAGCAGCGGTCCAGTCAGGTCTGGGTGTGCCGTGTGTTCCGTTGGTGGTGGAAATGGCGGCATGGTTGCCGTTACTCACGCCGGTGGAAGCGGAGGTGTTGTTGGCGGTTGCACTGCTGTTGCTGGCGGTGCAGCTGTGCTCCAGGCAGAAGGACTTGAAGCGCACCTCGTCGTTCTCGGCCAGGATGGTCCTCATCTCCAGGCCGTGGTCGAAGGCGCACGTCACATGGAAGGCCACAATGCAGGAGGGCATGGAGCACTGGAGGACAGAGAGGAAATACAGTTAACAACAGAGACAAAATAAAAGAGGGAATATGAGAAAGGGAAAGAGAGACGAGTAAGAATGAGGATGCAAAAAAGGGATGAAGAAGGTGGTATAGGAGAGAGAAGGGATGAGGGATGAGAAGGAAACGGAAGGGAACACACACACACACACACAAACACACAATTTCTTAAATTTCTCAGACACTTTGTCACAACTATTTGTTTTAAAGTGTCATCTTCAGTCCATTTCTTGTGTTATCAAGGCTCCAATACGAGTGCAGCAAAGCAGAGAGACAAGCCAAGTCACAACAAACAAGGTTCCTCCATTTATGCTGACATTTCGGTAACTTGGGATGTGTGTGTGTGTGTGTGTGTCTCTCTCTCACTCTCTCTCTCTCTCAGTGCTATCCATTACAGGTCATACTAAGAGTCGGCCTCCCACTGAGTCCCTCCAGGCATGGTGTGATTTTGTGTGTGTGAGCCCTTGTGGCTATGTGTTGTTGTCGCTGCGTGCAAGTACGCGCATTTGTGCATTTGTAAAAGTGTGTGTGTGTGTGTGTGTGTGTGTGTGTGTGTGTGTGTGTGTGTGTGTGTGTGTGTGTGTGTTGAAGTGTGTGCTATGCAGGTTGGTGCTTGTACTTTTTCAGAGGCAGTTTAGAATTCAGCAGGAGGGTTCACGGTGACTCTCTTCACTGTGACAAAAACCTGACTGACAATGTCTGTCTGACTTTTTCACAGCCAGCCCTCCCCCTCTTCACTCTCTGCCTCTCTCTCTTTCTCGGCTCAACTGTCTGATTGCTATTTCAAAAGTTTAATTTCTAAAAGTAACAGCAGAGCTTGTAAGAGACAAACCTCACACAGGAAAACCAAGGCTTTAAAGCATATTTAACACAAAAATAATAAAAAAAAAAAGCAAGGCAGTCAAGCTTATCCAGCTATTATCCTCATTCACATGTTATCTTGCTGTGAAAACTTTTAATTGGAACTACTTCCTACTAAAGAAACAGTCAACGTGTTTGACTGGTACCGAGCCTTGGATAAATGTCCCAATGTGGTTTATATGATGTTGTGAAACAATGGAATAATATTTATATAAATTTTAAAGGTTATTATAACCTATTTTTGTGGAAATTACCTTGAACTCAGGCTAGTCTGTGGTACATTTTTCCTCATTACTCCCTGTTACGCCCCCAAAAACAATACACTGATTTGGAGCTAAAGTAGGTCATCAGTGCGAGGTAAACCGGTCCATCATTACCACCTTTCAGCTCTCTGCAGCACATGAAATCGGTGTGAGGCAGCAACTTGAGCGCTGCTGAGAGGTCTAGCTTTATTTTATTTTATTTTATTTTACTTGGTAAGGAACCAAAGTTTCAATCTATGTTTTGTTTAATTTCAACGAACCCCACACACTCACCCTTCATCTTCTCTGCCCGTCTTGCTTTCACTGTTTTGACTTGGTATTGAGGCTTATTTGCGTGTTGGAAGGATAAATACAGACATCACATCTAAACCACAACTTACATGATTGGTGAACAAACATATGAACCCATGTGAAACCACAAACAGACTAACAGGAGACCTCCTGTCTTGTTGTTTTCTGGTGCGAGCACTGATGTGCACTCCCCCTCCCCCCACCGACCCAAATCTTCACAAAACTCAGACATAAAAATGGCCCACGGTATAAAGAAAGGTTAGAGATCCCTGCTATAGATTTCAGAGGTAATGGGGACACGGTTCCTAAAAAAAAAAAAAAAAGATATTGCTGTTGAATCTTTTTTTAATGTTTTTATCAATGCTTTGAGCTTTACAAACAAAATTCTATGCATCTCAACACCTAACAGCCAGATACCACTGGAAGTGAATCCATGATTGGGACGAGGACAGCTGCAAACTTGTACGCAAACAGTGGACGCACATTCACTTCTATACATACTATCAGGGTATCAGGGTATGAACATGTGGACACATTCCTCACAGGTGCATTAGAAAACAAGATGTTGGAGCTCTTACAGCAAGAAGAGAAGTTCCTTCGTTGTATTTGTCTGAATCACACGAGCCAACAGTTTATTTTTTCTAGCTCTTGCACAGTCTGCGCTCGTAGTGCGGACAGTTGGCATGGTCTCAAATTTTCGGCTGCAGGTCGTCATCTGACAGTCATCCACACAGACCCTTGCGCTCTTGCACACTGAACTTCACGGGCTCTTACGGCAAGCTAAATGCGGAAACCACAAAAATGGCTTTAAGTGAGAAAATGTCTTCTTGTTTTGTAATTTGGATGACTGGATCCAAATTTGTGTCATTTGTTTATTTTTTGTTTTTTATAAATGAAACTAGATGTCTCACCTATCTCACTTTGAAATCTAGCCTTTAGATGTTGTCAACAACTGAGTTTTAAAATGCATTTCATTGAGGAAAAACTGTTCTCAATCCACTAAATCACTAAGTAATCAGTGTTTGGGGAACAGAAGGCATGATCCAATAATCATATATCTGGTCTGTGTGACACACCAATAGAGATACACCATCATGTCGTTAAAAACTGGGACTTACAGTCAAAGCACTACAATTCAGACCCATTTTTATTACCAGCTTCCACAAATGTCAGATTGAGCCCACTGCAGCTGCTCTAACTTATTTGGTGTCAGAAGGCAAAAGGTTGGACACAGCATGGAGCCGGCTCGATACGTTGTTTGGTATGAAGTGAGTCATCGCAATAAATACTCATATGGCCTTTTCAACTGCACCTGCTCTCTTCTGGCAGAGATTCACTAATCATTTTTACTTATTTGTTTGAGTTTTATCAGTGCCCACGCTGACTGTGAGTACTTCTGGGGCTTCGTTTGACTTTGTAGTAATCTTCAACCCTTTGCATGAGGTCACTGAGGAAAAAAAAAAAAAAAATCATGTTATATTTTGATCATATTCTCTTCTGCTCCATGAGGAAGATGTGGACCTATATTAAACTGCTCAAAATTTAAATTTAAACTTTTTGTCTACTAAAAAAACCTAAGATAGAATAGACTCTATTTAACATACTTCTTTGTACTTAAAATTTACTTAAAGAGACCTCCAGAGGAGTTGTTTTAGTGCTTTCACAAGGGTTGTTTTTAGAAAGAAGTTTGACATGTTCCTGAAAAGGTCACAAACCCTTGTTGACTTGATATTCCTATTCATTCATTCAGTCATTCCTATTAGCTTTTCAACCCAGCTATACCTTGAGCTTTGAGCCCTCTTTGAACATCTAGTATGTCAGGCACAACAGCGCCTCCATCCAAACAGCTTTATTTTGTGTCAAAACATAAACATCACCTACAACCAGAATAAATAAATCACAAACCTACGTTCAGCAATTCAAGATAATTAAGAGGCGGCTACTGGACACGGACTCATGAGGACAGCGGCAACAGCATGAACTGACACTGACACGCTTTAATGCGAGACATTCGTCATCGAAATAAGGGCCTACCTTTTCATTTCTAACTTGTCAAGAAGAAAACCTGATGAAATCACAGATTTTATGACTTGACAGCCCGGCTGAGGTATATCAGCGCCAATATCCATCACATGGTTTTCCTGAAAATGTGGTGCATTGATCCTTGGATGGAGAGAGAGGCTGACAGCTGAGGAATATTGATGATTTTGGCTGCTATATTTTATTTATTCATTTTAAAAACATTTGATTCTCATGCCCACCAGGAATCTACATGGAGTATCTCTATTTTTGTGCGAAAATTTATTTTTCTTTGACACTGATTCGTCTGAATCTTAGCCTTTCATGTCTAACTTATAGTGGTAAGGAGAAGTCTGTAATTTAAAGGACTGACTCCTTTACATCAAGTTTTCCCCTTTTATTTCCCTAAGGGTCTTTAGAGCTGTTAATATCATCTTATATCACTCTGTATGGACGTATTAGAAACATATCATCATCTTGTTGCAGCTCTACATTGAAGCTACAGTATATGATGTTTACACTTAATAAAGTATTCGAAACCAAGTGCAGCCATCCATGTTTTTATGGCTGCACCATTCTCAATGTAAAAGTTCTATATGTCCTGTGCATCAGTTTATATGACTTTCTGCTAAATCCAGCCTTGCATATTTGGTATCTTTGAAAACTGGGATCTCCTCTACTCTTTGGCTAGTGGGGCAAGACCTATAAACACGAATGTCACTGATTGGCTGACCAAGTGATGAAGTTACACCATTGGTCAACCGAATGCCACATGACTAGGTGATAAGGTTACACCAGTGGGCGGCTGAGTGTTGGAGTTTCCTCATTGGCCGTTGCTCTTTCCCAATGATTTAGCAAGAACAAGCGGTGTTGCTAACTTAGTGCCTTTGTCGCTAGGCTAAACGCTAGGTTTGCATCTCGTGAAAAATCCAGCAACTTTCTGGACAAACTTTAGCTACTTTCCATAGAAGACAGTTGCCAGTGCTTCCCCTCTGCAGGCACAACTTTCTTAACTTATGTGACATCGCGGTTATAAAATCAGGACTGCTGGTCGACATGTAGTCTTAATAGGCTGCGTTTAAGTCACTATATCATATTTGTGCCGTGTTCTGACAACAGAAATGGAGAACATGTAAATGAGAATAGCTTTATTTAGCTGTATCAAAATACAGTATATGTGAGCACAGATAGGAGGAGAGAAGCAAGCAGATAAAAGGCTGAAACCGGCTGACACTAGGCAGAATGCAAATACTATACGGTCCAGCCGTATACTAGGTTTTGACCTCGTCTTGTTTGGCTGCACAGCATAAGTATGTAAACTCATAACTGATGCACCCACAGGCCACTGCTTATTACATGGTTGACTTGAGTTATAATCAGATAGAGCTCATTTTCAAAATGTCTTTTGCTGACTTGTTTCAGCTATAGTTTTGTTTGGTACATGTTTTGCGGCTGTAGCTATGGCAAAACTGGGGGTGTTTAAATGCAAAGGGCTGCCACATTCCTCTGAATTCTGTGTTAAAGACAAACTAACCGTGAAGCAGGAGTACTTTCTTAATTAGCTGATCGTGTCACCCTATTACTGAAGACTGTTGTTCACAGGCTGACTCTCTCCAAGCTTTAACAAATACAGCACAGGCTTGACTGCCTGACCTTTTCAGTGCACCTTCCTTTAATAAAGCACTAATTAAGACTCTCATTACACTTGGAGAACTTGCCAATGAATACAGTGGATCATTAAATACAACTGTCATTATGGGAGGAACTGTCAGCACATGAAAACGAACACGACGAGGTGTCATTAGAAGAACGAAGGTTTGTTCCCAAGTTACCAAGAGATGAAATAACCGAAGGCTTGAAGGAGCGACTCGGCTTCAATTATTAAAACAGGTTTAGAAAGGAAGAACGGTCTGAAATGTCTAGCCTACTGTACATTAAAAGCACACACATTTTAGCAGAAGCACATGTTGTAAATTGTCTGCTACAGATATGTAAGAGTGACTTGGACAATACACCATATTTATATCTAATCTACAAAATACAGCTATCTATTAAAATATAGCACTGCAAAACTTTTGGATTCCTTCATGACAGCCCACAACCAAATTATAAAAACAGGTTGAAAATCAAGACTGGATATATACTTTTTATTTTCTCTCTGACTCTTCTGTGACCACACTTATTTTCAAAACAGAAAACTGTTTTTGGTTATTTCATGCTCTTCCCTACATTAAGGCCTACACAGGACCCCTGCTGCGAGTGGGTGAGCTGTAGCGCTGCATCTCTACCTCCTGTGTGAGGTGGCAGTTGAGCAGTGAGTGTGTTTGTACAGCTGCCTGCCTCCAGCTATGGACAGAGGAGTGAGAGAGAGAGAGAGAGAGAGAGAGAGAGAGAGAGACTCGGTCCCTGTGGGCGATTCTGGCTCAAGGACTCGCTGTTAATTTTACAGCATCAATCCTGTGAGGGCAGAACACCCTCAACGCTATACAAACTAGCACGTGGAAAACACTTGCACGTATACATCAAGAACACATGTATATGTTCTGCACGTACACACAATGTAGGGATTTAGAATCCAGTTCACCTTGAGGGCACTTTGAACTCTGAATGGTGTTCAGGCTAATAGCTGTAAAGTGGGTTAGCGTCAGTATGTCAGCAGGGGTTTTGTTTGCATACTCAGCAGCATGTTAAAGTAGTGCCAAGTTAAAAAAGATCCACCCGCACCCAGCAGGAGGCTGCGAATTATGATGACATTTTGTGTGTGTGTGTGTGTGTGTGTGTGTGTGCTGAGTTGCTACTATATATACTGTATGTATTGCCTTTTCTGTGGATGTTCCTGTAAAGCTTTATTTCAGAATGCTTGTAATTATAAGTGGGTGTGAACTTTGATGCCACTCCAAAAGTTAAACGAAACTTGTTTTTATTCCAACGCCACGTCCAGATGATGTAAAGTATGTAAACAGATGGCACGAAGACTGGAAAAGTAAGAAGATGAAGAGGAAGAAAAAGAAAGAAGAGGGGGAAAGGATTGAACTGTGCATCTGTCTTGACAGCGGACGGCAGCTGTCAGAGTAAAACTCAAGCACTTACACAGCTGTAATCTTGACAACAGTGTGCTTAATTTACTTTGTTGAAATTTTCCTTGAATCCAGAAAAGCAGAGCACTGAATCATGAGATAATCTCATCCACAGAAGAAATTTCTGACCATATCCCAATTTGGACAATTCCTTTCAATCTGTTAAAATGATGAGCTAACAAACACAGGTGAAGATCTTACCTTTAACCTAGCTGGAGATTGCTGTTAAGCTGGTGGATAAGAGCTGGCACCTGACTGTGTTTGATTAGTGTTCAGGTGAAGTTTTGGGCATGTTTAAAGAAGTAAAACTTGAAAACAAAAACTTACTTCATGACAGAGCTTGTTATGAAGTTCGAAAAAAGTCTCATGTTTTTCTTAATTTTAGGACACTGGGGTCACTTGATAACATTTTGTGAGGCTGCGCAGATGCAGGGGTGTGTGTGTGTGTGTGTGTGTGTGTGTGTGTGCGTGTGTGTGTGTGCATGTGACGTACCTGTATGCAGGTTCCTGTGTGTTCTCGGCACAGGCTGCAGGACAGAGCCCAGCGGCTAGCGGGGATGTGGGACACCTTGGTAATGGGCTCCATCTTCTCTGGACAGCCTATACTCACCTACAGGGAACACAAAGCAATGACACATATATATACAGTGTATATATATATATATACACACACATATCTGATAGAAAAACCACAATTTGTGATTAACAATCAACATTGTGTGGAGATTCAACCAACATCTTGTCATTCTTTTTAAAATTATCTGTGAAATTCCACTTAAACACTATGTGTGCACTGTTTTTATTTGCAGAAGTCAATCAGAAATCGCAGTAACTCTTTTTGGTGCTGAACAATTAATGGATCAATCAGTTACTTGAGTGACTACTAAAAATTAATTACAAAATATTGTCAAATGTTTTCTGGTTCCAGCTTCTAAAATGTGGAGATTTGCTGCTTTTCTATGTTTCATATCAGTGGAAATGTAATATTTTGGGGTTTTTACATTGTTGGTCTAACAACACAAGCAATTTGAAGATGTCTCCTCGGGCTCTGCAGTGGTCACTTCTAACATTTTGTGGACAAAACTCCTAAAATTAAAACTGGTAGTTGAGATGGTGAGCAGCACAGTTTTTTTTTTTTTTTCAGATTATATTTTTATGTAGCACTGCGTCTATGGATGAATTTCAGTTTTTTAAATTGACAAAAAGATCAAACTTTCCACCAAACCTTCCAGTGAAAGATAATAATCAACTTATTGTAGCTTGGATGATAATTACTTGTGTCTCTTCCAGTGTCAAAGCCAAGATTCTGGATTAGCGTGTCTGTCCTTGGAGCCAGAGCAGGGACACATGTGGTCCTTGGAAAAACATCATTGTAAAGCCCAGTGTGACTCACTCTCTCTGAGCGGTCCATTCACAACGACTTTGGCTCCGAACCTGGCAGCACCAAATCCAACCAAAAAGTCATTGACCTGTGCCAAGCAGCCATGCAGAATAGAGTGGAGAGCACTCATCACCAAAGTGCCATTTCTTCCTTCCTTCCTTCACTGCCTGTTTCTTTCCAAAAAACCATTCCACCTCTTTCACATTCACTTATCCTCATATTTGCGGCAAGGCCCTCTCTTCCTTGTCCTTCACACTTGAATTAACAAGCTGACGTCTGATTTCTGTAGGTCACGCCCCTCCCTCTCTTCGTTCACTTGTCTTTTTTCTATCTGATTTTCTTTTCCTCCTGTCATCTTCTCATCCACAGAACAAGCACACTTTCTGTTATTATTGATGCCTTTTGTACAGCCCACTGAATACGAGTAGGGGTCAATTTTCACTCCATTGAACACGTCAATAGAAAGTACAATTCAGACAACGACGCCGCAGCCGTCACCGTCGATGATCGCTACTTTTTAACAGCTGACGTACAAACCGACTGATGGCAAAAGGATTTCCGGTTTTTGATGCGGTGGTTAATTGATTAAATTGTTCTCAACCATGATGCCCACACATAAAGCACATATGGGGAAGCACACACATGCACGCACACTCACACTTACACTCACAGATGCTGCATTTTTTTTCACAATCCCCACCACCACCTTCTTGTAGTTTGTCAATACTGAAAAATCAACACTGCAGCTTTCTGTGTAGAAGGAGTGTGTGTCCATCTGTGTGTGTTACCACCTGCTTTTAACATGCTCATTCACCAGCATTTTTCAGCCCCAAATTACTAAATCTGAAATCACTTCACTGGAAAGGGGAGGAAATCACAGTGTTAAACGAAAAGGCATTTTAAAAAGAGGGACTACGAGTCTTTGAATGTGTGTGTGTGTTATAAAAAGCCGTTTAAAAAGAGACCTCTCTCTAGGGGTTGAAGGCAGAGGGCAGAAGGAAGCTACACACACAGCACTGCAGGGGGGCTGTATCGTTTGACGGCTGGGTGGTGTGTTCAAAAACACAAAACACACGCATCCAATCCGGCGCTCTATGAATGACACGCACGCACACGCGCACGCGCGTGCACCCACATACACACACACACACACACACACACACACACACACACACACACACACACACACACACACACACCGTATCTTTTCTGGAAATTTCCACTTCTAAAATCCTACTAGCTGATGTCGTGATGTGTGCGTTGCGTTTGTGTGTGTTTATTTGTGTACTCATCTACTATTGACACCTTTCAGCTCTGGCAAACACACATAACGGAGTTTATATAAGGACACGCACACAAATGCGCACACAGCACAGACATGCAAATTATCTTTTCTTTTCTTTTTTTTTTCCCTTCATGGTAGGAAGAGAAAACAAAAGCGAACGGCACAACGAAAACAATTAGCCCAATCAAGGGTGACAGAAGGCAATTAGAAGTAAAAGGTTTGAGGTGCCAAAAGCCACTCCATTACTGAGAAATCTGCTGGTGGAGAGCGTTGCTGAATAGGCTGAAGACACATGACTGGCTGTCTTTAACGATTTAAAGGTGTGCAAGGCGTAAAGCAACATCCGTCCCTGAACCTCTGAAATGAGCGGCTGCTTTGTGACCGTTTGGAGCTTTCAGAGGAGAGTTATTTCCAAAAAGGTATCATCAAGACAAATCAAGTCAAAATGAGCAGCTGCTTGGGGAGCACGCTTGAAAAACAGTTTCCCGGTGAATGAATTGACATTATCTACAGCTGTTAAAAGTGAGGTCTCGACTGAAGAAGCTACATGAAGTATTTTAAGCATTTACTATAAACAAGAAAAGCCTGGTGGAAAAAAACAAAACTGACAGGTGAAAGTGTCTACGGAAATCAAGGCCACCTTTCCTGAAAACCCAGTTGTTTCAGATTTATTCAAGTACACTCACATGAAATACAGTATGTACACTGGAAGAATTATGGGTTGTAATCGCCCCCTACTCTCCATATTGGCTGTGAAGCCAAACCTTCGCAGAAAGATTTACAATTAAGAGTTGAAGATAGACCTGAAAAAAAAATACAAACCCATCGTTTGAAGCTGCTTTTCTGCCACAAAGTTACATTTAAAATGCCAGAACTCCAAAATATAATCCCACAGAAACCGCCTATCCTCTCAGCAGTGCCTTTCTTTATATACCATGGTAATACTCAAACATTCAATGTGGCAATTACATATTGATCATGAAATCATATCGCTACATAAGTAGAAACAGAATGCCATGTTTTTCATATACTGTCGACCATTTAACTCAGACAGTTCAAATGTTTCCTACCAATCCTCGAAGGAACAGTGGATGAATCCATCACGTAAACAAAGCACAACACAGTTTATTTGTACTCATGTTGACATGCTTACAGAATGTTTGCCGAGCGAAGTAATCACCCATTGACAAGGCCGCACTCACTGTCGAATCTTCCATTACAGTGAACTGCACTACTACCGTCTTTGTTCTACATCCCTAATGGGAGAGATTGTCTTTCTTTCTTTAGCCGGATAAAAGATCTAAGAAAAGGTTCAGTGTGTGGAGTCTTTAGAGAAACATGAGGGCTGGGTTACAGCAGGTTTTTCGAAAATGGTGGGAAAGAAATCCACTGCCCATTTTCAGAAATGGATGCGGTCTTTGTTTGAGGGCAGGATGAGAAAAGCCAAAGTGAACTTTAGACACAAGTGAAGAAGTCAACACACAATACCCCAAACCTTTTTGCCACTTCATGTTTATGCATTTTGCTGGCTCTACTGACCACTGATCAGATATAGGATTGATTCTTCCACTAATTCTAACAATGACTACAGCTGTATGCACTCATGCAAAAGTAAACAACAGCCGCTCACTCTCTAGAGCCACTCTAGCACCAATGTTCAACACTCACAGGTAGAGGAGGAGGCAGGGATACCGATTTCTCCATCAACAGTGGCATTAAGTGCAGCGACAAGACGTCTTGATTCCCGAGTGCCTTGTGTGACTGGGATCATAAATACAAACACGCAGGTGCACCCACAGCTAAATGATGACACTTTGAGATACTGATGTGCCTACGGGCCTTGCTTTCATTGGAAGCATCAAGTCTGGTAGAAAGTGACTACCTCAAGCGCTAGAGTGAGCACGAATAGAAATTCTAGGATGAAGAACAAACGCTGTTACTGTTGCTTCCTGACTGATCGTAAAAATATAATCTACATCAGACCATCTCCGTGTCTTCCAACGGGTCTCACCTCAGGGATCCATAAGGCACAGCTGACGTGGACCCATTTGGTTCCACTGCGGGTGGGCTTGAGGGCCCCCCCTCTCTTGGGGCAGAGCAGACATTTGGGCTGGACGCCCAGAGCGCAGGTCCGACACAGCCAGTTCCCCTGGGGTACCTTCAGGATGCCATAACATGCCTGCAGCAGGGAAAAAGAGAGAGAGAAAGAACAGTCAGGAGAGGTGATGATCTGAAGAAAGACAAATAAAGAGAGACCCTTTATAACTTGTTAAATTTGACTTCATTTGATATTTTGGGAAAGCCTGGTTCTGTCTGAAGGTACGGATTATCAAATAATACTAATGACTGCACTTTAAAGGTTATTTCCCCCTGATTCAAGTCTTTATGCTAAGCTAAACAGCTGCTAGCTGTTGCTTCATACCACTGTACTGAATGTCCAATTATTCCTTTAACATAGTTTGCCCAATGAGAGGATGGAAAGTTGTTATAACACTAATACAATACAATATAAAAAGACCAAAAAATGCAGTTTTGCCAAGTTACTAATTACACTTCATTTAAAGTATTGCTGACCATGTTCCAATCTTTCAGGGAACCAGTGCTTTCCATTTATTTCAGTTCACTTTGAAAATAAACTTGCAGCATTTTGGAAATGTACTTTAAATCCACAACAGTCAATATTTACCGTAGTGTCCTGTATTATTTTACTTGAATTTTTCTTTGATAAAAAGGTATGTTATCATTGCAAAATGACTGCAATGAAACTCCGGCATCTGAGATGATTTGATAGTCAGCTTCTGTGCCGTGCATTCACAAGCCACGCCATCAGGAAATTAAATCCAGAAGAGGCACATTAAATAAACATGAACACTATGAAAAGAACAACATGAATGTGGTCATTTATTGGTCATCAAACACCGTTTGGTTGCCAACTCTCAGGTTTTGGGGGCAAGAATGTTTCCATGACCGCATAAACCAAACACCCCTGCTGGCTACTGTGTAGCTTTTAGCAAGTCTTGCTTTCCGAAGCAAGTTTTGAGCTGCCTGGAGCAAAGTAAAATAAATATAAAATGCATAGTATGCTAACAATTTTCTAGCAATATACACAAAATTTCCTGCCAACTACATGCACAAAGTCTACTAAAACGTGCAAAAGAGTGAGCTTATCATACGCCTGCTGTTTTAAAAATTAAAATAACTTTTTATATATTTTGTCACATTGTAAAATAGATGACATTGCCATTTGTTTTGTTTAATTTCTTTTTTGAACTACTTCTATAAAGTAGTATGAGAGGAGACAAACTGAAGGAGAGTGAGAATAATTCAAACGGGCTGGATTTGAACCCAGGCAGAATTTTAACCAGCTACGCCACAAGGCCAGCCCATCATCCTGTTTTTATGTCAGAATCCCATTACTTTTCATTTATTTTATTTTCAGTGGTGGCTGCTTCTGAGACGAAAATTTAAAAAAAAAAGTAATTACAGTCTGCTGCTTATTTCTTCTGTCCTATAAAAACAGTGAATTCACAAATTTCAAAGTGACACATGCAAAAACATTCTTCCTTGTTCCCTATTTGCTAACAGCTCTTTAAAAAGTTGTGCTCACTGCTGACCCAATAAGACACAGACACAGACACACAAAAACACACACAAAAACACACACACACAGAAAATCTTGTGTGAACAAGACATCATCAAAACTCCACTTAGTGTTGTTTTAAAAACACTGAAGATTATCCTAACATCAGTGCTCAACCCGTTCCTCCTTCTGCCAACACACAGGGGTGCCATGAAAGTATTTGATAAGATCCAGTCCCTCATGGTCAGAAACCGAGAATGATTTACTCCTAAACTGTCTGAAAGTACCTCTACTGTGGCAAGTAAGTCATTCCAAATACCTCTTTCTCTGTCATTACTACCACTACTTCTCCATCGGATCTATCACTATCTAATTTCTAATGAGTCAAGTCAAATGAGCAACTCTTTAATTGAGGCCCAAATGAAATTCCCCTGAAAATCCCCTGAGCGATTTCAGGAACCACCGCTGCTACATTCATAACAGGCCTCGGTATAACTGACCCTCTTTCCCAGAGAGCAGGATACCGCACATGACATGTCACAGTTGACTGGTGTAAAGCTGGGAAGCCAGAATGCACGGTCCGTTATAAGGAGATAAAACTAAGTAAAGGTAGAAGGAAAAACCAAAACAATCTTCACACTGACAGATTGGTGTCAGAGTGACAGTAGCACCAAATCAGACATCAAAGACTCTGTCTTCATTAAATGTAATTAAAGCACTTTATTGATCAAAGGATTTTATTGATCAAACACAGAACATCAGTAAGCAAGGCCTGTGTTTTACCTGCTGAAGGTTAGGGAGACTGCCTTAGTAGGGAAGCAAGAGACAGCGCCGTGCGTGTTTAATCTATAAAAGCAATGATATGACTTAGTGCTCCCTGAGAGCAACAGGTTCTTTCACTGCTTCTTACATTTCGTTTCCATGACACCTCCATTTTTTGGCAGGTATCCCTTTTTACCTAACAAAAACTGAAGGAACCCTGTGGTTTAGACCACTAGTGCTGCTACAGAGTGATGTTGTACTGCAATGTGAGACGAAGAGATGCAAGCAAATGCCAGCAGCAGCAGCAGCAAGAGGTGACGTGATACACACTTCTGCCAGCTGAAGGGACCAATAAAGGTGGTTGCACTGATGCGTCATGGAAGGTAGTAACGCACCAGTAAAAGAGGAGAAGAAGACTGCGATCTGATTTAAATCATGTAGGTTTCAAAACTTGAACAAACAAAGAAGAACAAACAAAGAAGAACGAGGAAGTCGAGGAGATAAAGATCACAAAGACTGAAATAAGCGTAAATGTTTTGTGAAGTAGCAAGTGCATCCAACATAATTTATAGCCCCTGTAAATACAGACAACACACTTTGGTGAGAAAACTTTCAGAGGAAAAGAAAAACGTTTGTTTACAATGAAATCTCTAGAAGTACTTGACCTGTTCTGTCTCACTGCTGGTTCATTTTTGTTGACTTTCTGTGCATTCAGCTTTGATTTTATTTTTATTACGTTTTTAAAGGTGTCCTCACCATATATGCATGGGCTTCTTTTCAGCACACACTCAGATAGTGTAGAGTCAAAAAAAGCAGCCAGGAAAGACCAGGTGCTTAAAAGTCTAAAGTGATAGTCACTCAATACATTACTATAGATCAGTTCACAGGTTGTGCCTCTTTCATTGAAAGCCTGTGTGTGCCTGTAACTCATTGAAAATATGAATAATTCACAGTTTAAAACCGCACATCAGCACTTTCTATAGGTTTTCTCAGCTTGTCTCTATATGATAATATACATACAGTTAAGTCACAATACATTAAACATGTTCAGTGTATTCACCAATCGATAGACACACTCCAGAGGGTTTCAATAAAGTCAGCAATTGATAGACTAAAGGGTTACACAGCAAAATTTTACTTTAAGAATGCATGCATGAGATGGAAAATAATAAGTTTTAGTGCTGTGTTGATCCTGTTTGTAATCTTTGATTTAGTGATCTAAATAATTCCTCTTCAATTTCATTCATATTCATATAGAGTGAATGAAGACAAATCTAACAAACACCTGTTTGTCAATAACTTAGGCGAGACTTTCAACAACAGGCAGTTCCTGGTTTGACAGGCACTGAACAGGATTTTGTTTTTCCACAGTGTGAGGGGAAATTTTCCATGACAGACCAACGTGAGATCTCGTCTGCAGTTGTATGATCACACTGAAGGTGCGTTAGCGCCAACGGGATGGACGGAATAATTAACAGTGTGTCACTGTGTAACAAACACAGCAGTGCTCCTCAGGCCTCCTCTTGTCACAGGCACTATTTGTGAAATTGCTAATGCATGTGTATTTTCACTCCGCTGGCGAATGAGGATGGATTAAAAAAAAAAAAAAAAAAAAAAAAAGGTTAAGAATAAGCCGAAAGGATGATCAACACACAAACGTACACGAGCATGCAAACACACTTATGCTTAAACAGAGATATGAACAAATAAATCCCTTAATTCCTGACCTGATGAACACAGACGTTGCACTTGTCGCAGAAGACCATCTCGTTGCCGTCCTCTCCCTCTGGCGAGCGGCAGACGTCGCACACCACGTCCTCATCGTACTCGATGCCCAGGCCTTCCTCCGTCTCGATCGCCTGCTGCATCTTCTCCTCACACACACTCTCCAGCTCAACCAGAACACACTCCATCGTCAGCTCATCCAGCTCCGGTAAGGCTGGCGGGGAGAAGATGGAGAGTAAAACTTGATTAGTTTTTGTTTATTCTCTGAAGTAGAAGACTGAAACCAACTCTGGAGAGGCCGGGAAGACTGGGATGAAGGAAGGGGAGGGAGGGCTGATTTGAGGAGTGCATCATTGCTTGTGTGAAGCACGTTATCTTCTTTGTCTTACACCAGCACATTTTGTTTTTCTATAAGAGAGAAGCAAAGTGTCTTATTGCACTCCCATTGTTCAAAACATTTAAAAAGTGGTGAAAAGCAGAGCTTTAGACATGACTGCTGGGAGGATGGAGGAATATTTGAGAAAGTACTGAGCCCGAACAAAGCAATTAAAACTAAGAGTGAAGTTACAGCGTCAACACTCAGGTTTCTTTTAGGTCTTGTTATCAACAAGGATAACAGTAATAGGAAGCTGCTCACAGGAAACTGAAAATGAGTGAACCAATTTACTAAATTCAAGTTATTTTTGGTCAAAACACTTTGTCTCATACTTAAATTGGTTATGCACAAAGCTTCCCTTTGCGTTTACACCTCACAAGGTCACTTTCTGTTTTTGTTGAGCCATGAAATGTGCTGAAAATGAGCTGCAGGGATGTGGGAGTAAGTTGAGTTGCAGCTGACTCTTTGTGAAAACCGGGCAAAAGCAGAGAAGGGCTACATGTTCTGTATCACTACAAGTCCATTTGCCATCACAGCCAAGAACGATGAAATTTGCCGCTCAGTACATCATGCCAATGTGTGTCGGCATTAGCATTATTATTCCTGCCCCATTTGCATCTCAAAGTGATGCCTTGCTCTAAGGCTGGTTAATAGTTGATGAAAACTGATTTAACTGGCAAATGCAAGCTTTCATACTCATAAAAAAATAAAGGATTTGAAGCACCAGGAAAATAAACAGTCTGGTTTCCAGGACGGTGGCAAACAGATGTGGCATATTATTATCTCATTACATGCAATGAGATTACAGTGATTATACAAAATGGGTAACAGTAAGGCATTAAATCTAGTGTGAAAAAAAAAGTATATTTTTCTGAAATAAATGATTATTTGAATAACTGTTCAAAAACAGAAAAAAAAGGCATTTTAGATAGAGACCGTAATATGCCACAATTCCTGAATGCTAGCTGTAAATGAAGACCGTGCCCACACAAATCAGATCAGAGTAGAGTCGAGTCAATCATTTGCTCCACCACAACCTCTGATAAAAACCATTAAGGCTAAGGTGATCATTTCTAAATTCAGTATTTACATTCTTTGCTGCCACACTGTCGCTCATCGCTTCGCCGGAATCCTCCATGTGAAGCAGCAATAAAGAAACTTCTGCTGTCCTGGATTCTGTCACTGAAGATTATTTATTGATTTATTTGAAGGATTCAGCGCTCACTTGGGAGTTTTTTTTTCTTTCTTTTTTTTTTTTAAAGTGGGAGCTGAGCATCTTGTTTCTCTGTCTGTCATTTATGCCACACTCTCAAATTCATTTACTGATTCTGAATCATCTCACTGCCAACACGGTGACGGTGTAACCGGAGCTACAGTTTCTCACACAGTAAAGACGTGGAACTTAAGGCTCACACAAATCCAACCAAAACATTCTGCTATTCTTTCGCATTATGTTGGAAACACTTCGGCTTTAATATGAAATTCAACACCTGCCGCTGCCGCTGCGCGCGTTAGTCTTCAATCTACCAAATGTTGGCATGAATGAAGAACTAAAAGCAAGGAACTATGTGACGGTGGTTGTTTCAGATTTAGAAGCTGCTTTTCAAACACCAGAGGAAAGCGAAGTAGAGTTAGATATTAACCTGCTGTGACATTTACATCATGAACTGAACACACACAGGAGGGAGGGAAGAAACAACATTATTCACACATGACGTGCGAGTGTGAGTTGTGTCTGCACTGTGTACTCTGTGTACTTCCCGCGCCTTTACTGTATGTTTATCTCCCGTGTACGTTTCTGTTTGTACATGTGACAGCTGTTTGCACATGCAGAAACACCTCGAACATTGTCAATGTATCTGTGCGCATGACTGAACTTATCTGTTTGTCTCAAGGTAATACAGCATCCAACGTGCACGCATGCGCCCACACGCGCCCACACGCGCCCACACGCGCCCACACACACACACACACACACACACACACACACACACACTGCACGACGCCCATGCATTGTGTACCTTTCTGTACTTTTCTGATTTTATTGAACTGAATTTAATGAATGCATTACATTGACATCAGGCAGGATCTTGAATACAAGCAATTTCTCTATTATTACTGAGAAGACTGTATGTTCTTCAGCATTTTGTGCCACTGTAATGTCCTAGTTTTCTGCAAGAAAACAGGTTTCCTCCAAGCTGAATAATCTGAAAATCAATTTAAACGCCACCTCTAAACCCAAGTGTAGAATAGTATGAACAATCAGTGTCCAAGTACACACTTTGAATACACACACACGCACTTCTATACATGTATACAGTATCTAGAGGACTGAGATAGAAAAAGCTGAATCATCCCATCATGAGTCCAGATTCCTACAGCTTCGCCCAGCAGAACCAGTCAACCGTATGTTTGTTTGGTCTAGTACTGAAGGTTATGAGAAACAACCCGCTTCTCCTCCAGGAAGAGCTAGTGTGTGTGTGTGTGTGTATGTGTGTGTGTGAGTGCGTGCGTGTGTGTGTGCGCGTGTGTGTGATTTAAGGAAAATGTGTCCCAGAAATAAGGCCTGAAACCCCAGCGGGGATTTATAAACACAATTACTACGCTTTATCTGAAAGGAGCTGATCAGATATTGAATAAAATGGTGGAGATGGGAGAGATGTTCAGGGTCGGCAGTTGTCACCATGGCAAAATGGAGGACGCAGCAAAGCAGAGGAGAGAGAAAGTGACAGGAAACTGGAGAAGAAGAGGAACAGAGGAGACAGAGAAAGCAGGTGATGATAAATGAGGAGAGGATAAAATAACAAGAGCAAAGAAAAGGAAAGAAAGGGGAAGAGGACGCGCAGCTACATTACAGAATATTCAGACTGTCTGCAGGGTTCACAAACAAAACTTCAAACAATTAAGGAGTTTTTTTTATGTGTGACTTAAGAGACAATTCGGGGATTGAAAACGGGCAGAAAACCAACAGTCATGAAGCTAAAAGAAAATGACCATTTGTAAAATAAAACTCATTCGCAATTAGCTGAAACTCGCCCCGCGTTACTCTTGGTCCCCTGGGAGCCTTGGGTATAAACTGAATCATGATAAATGAGGTCAGTTTATATAACTTGAACAAACTTTTTTTTGTTTAATAACTTCATTTTTTCAAAACTGAGGTCCTTAAAAAGCAAAAATCAAACAACCACTTTGGCTGTTGATGTTAGTTTGTTCTGTCAAGATGCAAAAATCAGTGGTCAAATCAAGTGGTTTTTGCAAAGTTTTTATAAGAGAGAACATGTTGTCTCTTAATCGTCCATGGTTCCATCACTACTGGTCTCTAAAATGTAAGATTTTGCTGCTTGTTTTCTAATTTATACAAATGTAAATTCAATATCATTCAATGTCACTGGGAAACAAAAACATATGGAGCAGATTTCATTTGACTTTGGGCTTTTTTGACTTGTTTTCTTACATTTTATAGTCTAAAGAACAGATGGACTAATAAAAAAAAAAAAATGAAAACATGATTTAGTTACAGCCCTACCCAGGGATATGAATTTCACACAGCACAAGTGTGAGGTATGGATGTGTCTTTTAAGCACACAACTTTATTTTGGCCCCTACATTTTCAAAGGTTTCGAGATTTCTTTCTGTTACCAGTTGAAATGTTTTCTTCGGTAAGTGAATTTGCACTCACCCATCTGTCTGAACTCTTGGTTAACCAGCTCCAGCCAGGCGACATCCAGATCATCCAGGTCATAGCAACTGTAGAGCTGGGTGGGAGGAGGCTGGGTGTCACCCTCCCTCTCCTGCCTGTTGTTGCTCAGGCCACCTGAGGACTCCGGCAGCAACCTGCATCAAACACAACGATAAATGCAGAAGGTTCATCATGTGGTCTGGAAACACAACAACAGCAACAGCCTTGAAAAATTGCTTCATGTTTGGGTCCAAACTGAAGTGCTGTGGTACCTAGCAACTGTGTGTTGTAGTAATTTATCAGTGTGCTGTCAACACTCGACCCGATACAGCTCAACCTCCAGTATGTTATTGCAGTTGCGATCTTTAACAACTTAACAGTCATTCTGTCTTCATTTTTCAAAGCGGTGCATGCTTGTGTGACAAACAACAAATTCTTGCCCTGCTCATGGCAACAAGGAATCACTGGGAAGCCCTTCTAATGTCTGGGGCTCTCCCCTTACAGTCGGGTCTTGACCTCATGGTCCAGAAAGACTGAATCAGACAAAAAAAAAAAAAAAAAAAAAAGAAGAAAAAAAAAAAAAAGAGGAGAAAAAAAAACAAAAGCTGTCGAAACGATGACAAATCGAGTGGTTGTAGGCAGCAGTGACAGGAAGCTCCTCCAGGCAGTGTCTGGTCTCTGGAGCCTCGGGCCTGAATGTCTCTCTGTCAACAACAGCAGGAAATGGGGTCAGGAACTGTGCTCGACCCACTGGGAACCAATAAAGACCGAAACACGCTCATACACACATTCGTACACACATACACACATACACACACGCACGCACCCCGGCCTGTGTAAAAAGTCTGGACACTCTGAGAGCTAATAGACACGTGTAGACAAAATAAAGCAGGAACACAATAAACACAGGGAGACACTGCATTAACACACTGTACAGATCACACACACACACACAACCTCTCAAAAATAGCTTGGCATAGTGGCTAACACACACACACTCCCCTATTACTCACACACTTGCCTGGCATAGCCGTGACCTTTGTGTGAAAAGGTGAAGTGCGTCAGTGATCACAACAACAAAAACAAAAACAACCTTCAGCTCTCCGTTTAGTTCCCGTCTCCAGCGCCTCATTATCACACCGCTCAGTTATTATCGCCGTCCTCCGTCACTGCTGTCGCTCTCACATCTAGCAGCACTGTTACATCATCATCCTCCTCTTCATCATTATCATTATCCTCCCCATTATCATCATCACTACTGCCGTCATCATAACAGTTGCAACAATTTGATAGATAGATACTTTATTTATCCCCCTAAGCGAAATTCATGTGTCCATTAGCTCATTGTTGATAATAAGAAATAAAATAAATAAGAAAAAGTTAATAGCAAATAAAAAATAATAATCAAATTAGTCAACTCTCTTTCCGTTTTATTTTCTCCCCACATTGTCCCATCACTTCTACTTCATCTCTCGTCTCTTCCTGTCTCCCACCCATTCCACTTTCACTTCCTCTACCTTCTTCTCACACGGTTGTGCACCAGCATGCAAATCTCTGCACAGTGCTGTCTGTGGCTTTCTTGCAGATGTGCAGATGTCCCAAAGAACCGGGATCCTTCCATTTACAGATCAACAAAGCATATTTACATTAATAAACCTAATATTCTACAGTCTGTCTGTGAGGACAAAAAGGCAGAAAACTGAAACTGTTTTGGCCTGGTATCAGTCTGATATCTGATACTGGACAAACAGGCCTGGTCAGTCAACTGGCAGGGGAGAAAGGAGACAAAGACATACAAGACACACAAGACACACAAACACAAACACACACACACACACACACACACACACACACACACACACACACACACACACACACACAGGGAGAATAGGTTTCATACTGGAGACACTGGGCTGGTTGTTTCTGTTATGTAATGTTAAAAGCAGCTTCAGTGTCTAATTACATTAGTGGGTGGTGTTATTGCAGAATGAAAGGATATAGGCTGGTGATATTCTAAAGTGTCAACAAATCAGTGTCAATCCAATCCAATCCTGACCAACAGTCCAAAACCCAACGACTTTCAATTTTCTATCACACATGACAGAGAAAAGTATGAATCTTCACAAGAAGAGAAGGTGGAGAGGGCAAATGTTATTATTAAATAATTCTTCGATTATCAAAACAGTTGACAATTCATTTTCTGTTGATGAGCTATTCTATTAATCAACTAATTGCTGCAGCTCGACTGGGCACTGTAGTTTTTGGGAAACGTATTCGAGCAAGAGTAAATGGTGCATTTGTTGGGGACTAGTCAACCTACAGATTAATACATATCTGCTGCTCTGGTCAGTAAAACAGCAGCAGGAAAAATGATATAATCTACAGTGGACATGTTCATGGTAATAGAGGAATAGTGTGGCCGATTGCTGCGTTTTTAATAGTTTTTGGACAATAATGGGGCTCTATAGCGCAGAGGGACTATATCAGGCTTTGGATACAGTACTTGTTAGTAAAATCAATTCATTGCTGGTTTTGCTCTTTTCTTAGAATTTGTTGATAGTAAGAAAAATATAGAGCATAACCAGACAAAAACTGATTACAGAGTCCATAATGTGATATCCAGTCAGTAGCATGATATACTGAGATGTAATCAGCACAGGGCCGTTGGATCTTATGATATTCTTAGCGTTGTTTTTTCTCATATGGACTTTATTACATTTAGTTTTATAACTCTATTGGCGTTTGTTTGCCTTGTAGCTGTGACTGGCAGTGCTGATTTGCTTCAGCAACGCGAGGATGTAATAAAAAAAAAAAGGAGATAAGAAAATGAGGACAAAAACAAGATCATGAAAAGAAAACAGGGGACCAGCCAACATTTTGACACTGAGAGAATGATACCTGGACCAAAACTGAAAACCTGCGTACACTTCTGAAGTCATTCAGCTGCTACCTGCGTCAGTTTGTGAAATAAGACCCTTTCTCTGTCTCACTGACATCGGTCCAATAGAGGAGGAATTCAGAGTTTTGAAAGAGAAATCGTAAGATCATGTTATGTAAATGTCGTGCTTCTTTCGGCCCTGCCGGTCAGATTTCTAGGTATCATCTCTCAATCACTAGTGCGAGGCTCTGAGTTGAGCCTCTGGCTTGGTTGACAGAGGTAAAATAGACAAAACATGAAGTGAGATATGAAAGAAAAGAATCGCCTCATAATAATGTCTAGTCATCCCATCTAAAAGGACGCGAGTCAGTGGGGGTCAGAGTACAATGTGTTCTTCCCAGTATGGTAAGTATCATGTATCCGACAAACAAACACACACACACACACGCGCACGCGCACACACACACACACACACACACACACACACACAGATCTTACATAATGTGGGTAAACAAAACCATGTGCAAATGGTCTCCCATTATCCAGGCTTTATCATGACAACAAAGGCAGAGATAAAGTGCAGAGTCATCTGTCAATACTGAAGACAATTACAGCTCTATGTGTAGCTGTAAAAGAGGCGTTTTGTCTTTTTATGGGGTTACAGCCGATCCATAGAGATTCATATGAGCCAAAAAGCTCTAAATGTATAAACTGAAATAAATTAGGGTGATTCTGTTTGGGACGTTGCGTGTAATCATTTAACTTCTCACTTCCACTGTCCAAATTTCACAAAACCGCTCATGACAACGGTACAATTGTATAATACTGCTGAACTGGATTGTGTAATTGCTCTGGATTTACATTGATGAATTTATTTGTCCCTGGTATTTTTACCGTCCGTTAACCAGCTGATCACGATCAATTTATCAATGTCTGACCTAAGAAATATTAGAATATAGGGACTAAAAACAATAATATTCAATCAGAAAAGCAGACAGTTAGAAGAGTTCATTGTAGACAGATTTCTGAGTATTTAAAAATATTTTTTTCCCCCTTTTTAAACGCATTACCAGGATACAGAAAGAATATTTTTAGATTAAAATAATCACGAAGAAACCTTCAAATTCACTTCTGTTTACATTTGAGGAGTCCTAATGAGAAGAGGAGCAGAGGGGGAATATTTAGATGTTCCCTCCTAAGAATCATAACAATACGACAACCGAGTTTGCTTTGATCTTACTGGTGCGTCCCGTGAAATATTTATGAGGAGGAACTACATACTGTGGGGCTCTGATTCTTAAAACAGCAAAAACCAAACACCCCCCCCCTCTCCCTTGACTCAATTCCTCCTCCAGCTCTGAGGCCCTGAGCACAAGTGTCTTGGGTTTACTCCACTGGATGTGCCTCTGGGGAGCAGAGGAGTGAGAACTGTAAAGTATATCTTGTGGCGTAACGCTCCTGAATAGGATGTTATATGAGCTCGGGCGGGGAGGACAAGTGATTTATCTGGTTGTGTGTGTGTGTGTGTGTGAAAGTGAAATACACAGTGAAAGAGATACCTGGGTCAAAATAACTGATGCAAATACTTTTTCTGAGAGCAAACATCTGTCCATATGTCCAGAACCTTTAACTTCCAAAGTACACAGACACAGCAGGCTAAACGTGCTCTTATTTTATGCAAACGTCCTCTGCGAGATGAAAGAGGCACATATAACACGATCACCCACAATTTAGCGTTGTACCTTCTAGTAATTTTAATTTTCTCAATTTTGAGCAAGAATTAAAGGTGTACTATAACTCAGCTAATCAATGTTTCTTTATTCACTCCCTGAATATTAGGAGATACAGACACTAATATGAGTTATCAGGAGCAGAAATGGGACCACAGCAGCCAGCATCTGTCTGTCTGCTTTTGGGACTGTTTACATTCACTCCAGGACGGTTCCAGGACTGTGGTGGAAAAAAAAAAATTAGTCTGGGAGACAAGAAGAGAGACAAAGTGGGTATGAAAAACTCAAGTCTTCTTCTCTCTCCTCGCTCCCATATGTTTCTCACCACTGTGTAAATCACACTTTCCTCCTTTTCATAAAACGTCAATAATAATCTCACCTCAAGTAAAGGATGAAGTGGATGGTGTTTACATAAGACATTTCCAGTGTGGGCAGAGCGACAGCGGCTGAGCTCAGCTCTCAGTCTGACTCTCTACCCACACAGGACACGTCTAGTTTAAACAGACATCAACTCCTGACAGATCACTCATGAAGAGCAGGAAGTCCT